CGCTCCTCTCCATCCCGCCGTCGCCGACGCATCGCCGATGCATCGCCCCCGACGGGGCTTAATCCTCTTTTATCCTTCCGACGAAAACCTCCCAGTAGTTGCCTCCTAACCTTCCTGGCCCCAGCGCACCGGAGCTCGCTCGTGACGCCGGACCTCGCCCGTCGTCGGCTTCACGCTCGATCACCCGGGAGCTATCCTCCGATCTTACCTGCTCCGGCCCCGTGTTGGAGGCCTCTGCTGGCAGACGGCCCGCGAAAGTGTCGAAGACGCCTGCGGTGAGTCACCGCCGACCCCTGCCTTTGTGGAAGTGCCTACGTGGCCGAAAGTTGGGCTAGAGCTACTGGACGCTGACGCCTTTCGAGGAACACGTGGGGAAGAGGATAATTAGGAGAAGAGGGACAAGGGAGTAGGAGGAGGAGGAGGAGGAGGGGGAAAAAGAGGAGGAGGAGGAGAAGTAGGAGGAGGAGGAGGGAGGAAGAGGAGGAGGAGGAGGAGCAGGAGCAGGAGGAGGAGGAGGAGGAGGAGGAGGAGTCGAGGAAAGGTAGGACGGAGGAGGGAGGAAGAGGAGGAGTGAGGAGGGCAGAGCAGGAGAGGAGGAGGAGGAGGAGGGGAGGAGGCGGAGGAGCAGAGCAGGAGCAGGGAGGAGGAGGAGGAGGAGGAGGAGGAGGAGGAGGAGGAGGAGGAGGAGGACGCCTCTTGGAAGCCTCCTGGGGCACTCTCGGGGTCTCCTGGGAGCTTCCTGGAGGCCTCTTGGGTGCCTCTTGGGGGCTTCTTGGGGCCCTTTGTGGGGGCTCTTTGGCCGTCTCGGGCCGTCGGAAGGCCGAAAAGAGGGAAATGCCAACATTCTTCAAACACCTACGTAGGAAAATGAATGATTTACGCCTCTGTGGGCCTTCCTGAAAACTCTTTGGGAGGCCTCTTGGGCCGCCTTTGAGGCCTCTTGGGGGCCTCTTGGGCCATCTTGGAGCCATCTTGGGCTGTCTTGGTGGCTTCTTGGGCTGACATGGAGGCATCTTGGACCCTCTGAGGCCGTCTTGGAGGCCATCTTGGACCATCTTGTGCGAATCCGGATGCCATCCTGAGCCAGCTGGGCCGTCTTGGGAGGCCATCGAGGCTGTCTTGGAGACATCTTTTTTGGAGCGGCGCGACCTGGGTGGCTGGCGGCATCGGCCGAAGGCCAAGAGGAGTCTTACAAAAAAAGAACACCACTGAAATTTAGCACGCCGGGCACCTCTGTGCCGAGACCACGGGGGGCGGTGGATCTAAGACGCCTACGCCGAATCACCGCCGCCCCCTGCCTTTTTGGAAGCGCCTATGTGGCCGAACGTTGAGGCCAGACCTGCCAAGCCATCGGACCATGTGTTCCCCGAATCGGTTTGGAAAGCCTTCGGGGAACACGTGGGCATCTTGAAGGTCATCTTGGCCGGCTTGGAGGCCTCTTGGGCGATCTTTCGGCGATCTTTGGGGGCTCTTGGGCTGTCTCGGGCCGTCGGAAGGCCGAAAAGAAGGAAATGTCAAAATCCGTCAAAAACTGCAGGAAAATCTATGTTTTTGGCCTCTTCTGGCCTTCCTGGAGGCCCTCTGGGGGGCCTCTTAGGCCGTCTTGGGCCAGCTTCGAGCCAACTTCGGCCATCTTGGTGGGTTCCAGGCACGTCTGACGCTGTCGGGAGCCGTCTTGGGGGCCTTTCTGGGCCAACGGGGGACCCTCTTGGGGCGCTTCGGGGCCGTCTTGGAGGCCATCTTGGGCGTCTTGGAGGCCATCGTGAGCGTGTTGGAGGCCTCTTGGGCCGTCTTGGGGCCCTCTTGGGGCCATCTTGGAGGCCACTTGGGCCGTCATGGGGCCCTCTTGGGGGCCTCTTGGGCGATCTTGGGGGCGTCTTGGGCCGTCTTGACCCGTCGGAATGCCGAGAAGAAGTAAATTCCCAAATCCTTCAAAAACCTAAGGAAAATCAATGAGTTTGGCCTCTTCGGGCCCTCCTGGAAGAGCTCTTGGAGGGCTCTTGGGCCGTCTTCGGGGCCTCTGGGGGAACTCTTGGGCAGTCGTGGGCCATCTTGACACCATCTACGGCCGTCTTGGGTGCATCTTGGGCCGTCTTGGCGGCATCTTGGGGACATCTGAGCCGTCTTGGAGGCCATCTTGGCCGTCTGGGAGGCCATCTCGAGCCATATTGGAAGATTTTTTGCGGTCGTTGAGCTCGTTTCCGGGCCTTCCGCGGCCCCGGCGGGACGCGCCGGAGCCCACTGGGAGAGTTCTTTTGGAAAAAGAACCAAAATCAAAACCGATAGGGTTTGGCACGCCGGGTACCCCTTTGCTGAAGCGACAGGGGGCGGCGGATCGAAGACGCCTACGGCGAATCACCGCCGCCCCCTGCCTTTGTGGAGGCGCGTATGTGGCCGAACGTTGAGGCCAGACCTGCCAAGCCATCGGACCATGTGTTCCCCGAATCGGTTTGGAAAGCCTTCGGGGAACACGTGGGCGTCTTGATGGTCATCGTCGCCGTCTTGGAGGCCTCTTGGGCGATCTTTCGGCGATCTTTGGGGGCTCTTGGGCCGTCTCGGGCCGTCGGAAGGCCGAAAAAAGGGAAATGCCCAAATCCATCAAAAACCTTGGGAAAATCAGTGATTTTGGCATCTTTTGGCCTTCCTGGAGGCCCTCTTGGGGGCCTCTCGGGCCCTTTTGGGCCAGCTTCGAGCCAACTTCGGCCATCTTGGTGGGTTCCTGGCACGTCTGACGCCGTCGGGAGCCGTTTTGGGGGCCTTTCTGGGCCAACGGGGGACCCTCTTGGGGCGCTCCAGGGCCGTCTTGGAGGCCATCTTGGGCGTCTTGGAGGCCATCTTGGGCGTGTTGGAGGCCTCTTGGGCCGTCTTGGGGCCCTCTAGGGGCCATCTTGGAGGCCACTTGGGCCATCAGGGGGCTCTCTTGGGGGCCTCTTGGGCGATCTTGGGGGCTTCTTGGGCCGTCTTGAGCCGTCGGAGAGCCGAAAAGGCGCAAATGCCAAAATCCTTCAAAAACCAAGGGAAAATCAATGATTTTGGCCTCTTCGGACTCTCCTGGAGGACCTCTTGGAGGCCTCTTGGGCCGTCTGGGAGGCCTCTGGGGGGCCTCTTGGGCCGTCTTGGGCCGTCTTGGACTCTCTTGGGCCGTTTTGGAGGCCGTCTTGGACCATCTCGGGCGGACTTGGAGGCCATCTTGGGCCATCTTCGCGATTTTTGAGGATGTCCCGAGCGAAACGGCCGTTTTTGGAGGATTTTTTCCGGTCGTTGAGCACGTTTGGGGATTTTCCGGGTGGCCGGCGGGTTCTGCCGGAGCCCACTGGGGAGTTCTTTTGGAAAAAGAACCAAAACCAAAACCTAACAGCTCATCCAGCACGCCGTGCACCCCTGCAAGCAGGGGGCGGCGGATCGAAGACGCCTACGGCGAATCACCGCCGCCCCCTGCCTTTGTGGAAGCGCCTATGTGGCCGAACGTTGAGGCCAGACCTGCCAAGCTATCGGACCATGTGTTCCCCGAATCGGTTTGGAAAGCCTTCGGGGAACACGTGGGCATCTTGAAGGTCATCGTCGCCGTCTTGGAGGCCTCTTGGGCAAGCTTTGGGCGATCTTTGGGGCTTTTTGGGCCGTCTCGGGCCAGCTTCGAGCCAACTTCGGCCATCTTGGTGGGTTCCTGGCACGTCTGAAGCCGTCGGAAGCCGTTTGGAGGGCCTCTATGGGCCGACTTGGGGCCCGCTTGGAATGCTCCAGGGCCGTCTTGGAGGCCATCTTGGGCGTCTGGGAGGCCATCTTGGGCGTGTTGGAGGCCTCTTGGGCCCTCTTGGGGCCCTCTAGGGGCCATCTTGGAGGCCACTTGGGCCATCATGGGGCTCTCTTGGGGGCCTCTTGGGCGATCTTGGGGGCTTCTTGGGCCGTCTCGAGCCGTCGGAGAGCCGAAAAGGCGCAAATGCCAGAATCCTTCAAAAACCAAGGAAAAATCAATGATTTTGGCCTCTTCGGACTCTCCTGGAGGACCTCTTGGAGGCCTCTTGGGCCGTCTGGGAGGCCTCTGGGGGGCCTCTTGGGCCGTCTTGGGCCGTCTTGGACTCTCTTGGGCCGTTTTGGAGGCCGTCTTGGACCATCTCGGGCGGACTTGGAGGCCATCTTGGGCCATCTTCGCGATTTTTTGAGGATGTCCCGAGCGAAACGGCCGTTTTTTGGAGGATTTTTTCCGGTCGTTGAGCACCTTCCGGGTGGCCGGCGGGTTCTGCCGGAGCCCACTGGGGAGTTCTTTTGGAAAAAGAACCAAAACCAAAACCTGACAGCTCGTCCAGCACGCCGTGCACCCCTGCAAGCAGGGGGCGGCGGATCTCATGGCCTTCGGTCCATCCCGCCACCGTGCCTGGGTTGTGGGTCACAGGCCTCTCGGGTGTTCGGTGGAATGTGACGGGAGGCCTCCCGGGGGCGTTTTGGGGGCCGTTTTGAGGAGGCCTTTTGGGAGCCGTTTTGGGGCTTCTTGGGGCGTGTTCGGTTAGGATTGAAAGCGTCAGAATTCAGAGATCGATGTCACAAAAATTAGTGCAACCTCGCAGGAGGTCAAGACTGGATCCCTGCACCCGATCTTTCTGCTGCATTTTCTTGCCCAGATCGTTCCGTGAGGGCCGTGGAGGCAAAATCGCCCGTTGCGGAAAAAAGAGACGTCAGGATCTCAGGGAGCCAAGATACGAAATGCGGACCTCCAGAGCTATCAACACATTCTCTGGGACCTGCTTCTCATCCCGAGCTGTTTTTGCTGGTCTCTGGGCCCGGCGAGGGCCCCCCAAAGCCCGAAAGCAGTAAAAAACCTCCCGCCGCGATTTTGCTCACGACTCAGAGGTCTGGGGCGTCCTCCGAGGCGCCTGGGGGGCCTCGCGTCCGAGCGCCACGGCGATCGAGGGTGGTCTGCCTCGGGCTGTGCGGCCTGCCGCCGAGGGCGCCCCGCGCGCCTCCTCACCGGGCTCCGGGCGCGCCTGTGCCCCGTGGCCGCTCAGGTTCCAGGAGGCGTCCTTCCCGGCGAGGCAGCCGAAGGCGCAGAAGGATCGGGTCCGATGAGAGGAGGGGAAGGAGGAGGAGGAGGAGGAGGAGGAGGAGGAGGAGGAGGAGGAGGAGGAGGAGGAGGAGGAGGAGGAGGAGGAGGAGGAGGGAGGAGGAGGAGTGGAGGAGGAGGAGGAGGAGGAGGAGGAGGAGTAACGTTTAGGAACGTTTAGTTTAATCAGAGGCCCACTTGGGCCCCGCACCACAGGCAAGAGGAGCAAACACCACGCAGGCACTGGCGCCCCGTGCTTGGCCTTAACTCCTCGAGCCTTGGCTGCGGGACCCTCCCTGGGGACTGGTGCAGGCTCGGGCTCGGTTCGTGGGCGCCACCAGCGACCTCCGATGCATGCTCGCCGTGTGCGGCGGCAGCGACGAGGGCTTCTGGACACGGAGGGTACCCCGAGGCGGGCCTTCACGACGGGGAAAATGGCCCTTCCGAATGCGACTGAGGTTCTCATTACCTCCACGATTCGCACCCCGACAGGGACGACGCAGGAAACGAGGACCGCCTCCGTTCCAGATCGAGGTGAAGAAGCCACAACGTGCACATTACGTGACGAGTGGTGGGGGACAGCATGCAAGACAAGAGGGGGGTGGAGGTCCAGGGCTCCTCTCCCTCCTTTCTGCAGCTCGGCAGCGGCCACAGGCACGGGCGTGGCACCGCATGCCTCGAGCGAAAGCCCTGCATCCTCGACAGGGGGGGGCTGCACATGCGAGAGCTGGCCGCGAAGCAGAGCAGCTGGCTCTGCCCGACCGCGCACAGACAGCGAGTGCAGACCCAACGGCCGGCCCCACACCGCTGCAGCTCGTGCGGCGAGGAGGCACAGGCCGCGGCGGCAGCCGTGAGGACGGGCCGACGCTGCCCCATGCAACGAATTCCACGCTGCAGGTCCGCCTCAGCAAGCGAGCTCGAGGGCTCGGCACGCCCGCCTGCGGACCATGCGCGCCTCCACATCGATGACGTGGGTGTGTGGCCCGGCCCCGAAGAGCCCCGGCCGCCAGCATGCCGCCGCCGTCGCGCTCGCGAGCGCTTCAGCAGCAGCGTTGCCCATCGCCCGCTCGAGGTCCGACTCCGACCTGAGCAGGCGCAGGTTCTCCTCGTGGTCCGTGTGCGCGGGCACCCAGACCGTCTCGGGCTCGCCAGGGGGCCGACGCCGCCGCGCCTGGCGAACCCGCAGCTACAGGTCCTCGTGGGTACATCCAGGCTTGACGAGTGCCAACCGCCTCTGCCAGCAGCGCCAGGGCGGCTCGTGGTCGGTCACGTACCTCAACTTGCCGCCGACGGGCTCCAGCGCCAGCACGAAGCCGAGGATCTCCGTACGTGGCACCGTCTGCCGTCTGCCTGGCACGGGCTCGGCGCGGAACCAGACCAGCTCGGAGCAGGCGCCATCTTCGTCCTGGCCCAGGGCCACGACGCTGGTGGCACAGCGTCGGCGTCTGTGGTCGTCGTAGTGCCTCCCTCCACAGCCATCGCCGCAGATCACCATGAAGCCGTCGTCGCGCCTCGTAGCCTCCAGGATGTCGCTCGTGCCGAAGGACACCGCCGCGGCCTGCTCCGCCCGCAGGGCGCAGAAGACAGGGGTGGTCATGCTGGAGGCAGGCACGCCACGCAGCCACATACCAGGAGAGGACTCACGAGGTCGTCTCCCTGCGGGTGGAGTGACGCCTGCTGCCAGAGCTGGCGACTGAGGTCCTCCTCCACGTTCTGGAGAACCCCGCTGACGTCGGCGCACGTGTGGAAGGTGTCGTCGTCCGCGCCCGCAAGCCTCCACTCATCCTCACCATCGGGCGTAGGGCGAATCCAGACGGAGGCGGTGCGCGGGTCCCAGCCCATGTCCAGCAGTGTGGCCTGCAGCGCGCCCATGGGCCTTCGGACCCGCCTACAGCGCCACTTGCCAGCACGCCGCAGGGCCCCCCAAGACCCGCGGCCAGGCTCGCCTGATGCGACCGTGCAGCGACGCGTCGGAGAGCCACAGCGCGCACCACGCGGCCCTCAGGCGGCATCCTCTGAGGATGAGAAGGAGAAGGAGGAGGAGGAGGAGGAGGCGGAGGAGCAGGAGGAGGAGGAGGAGGAGGAGGAGGAGGAGGAGGAGGAGGAGGAGGAGGAGGAGGAGGAGAATGGCCAGTGTCAACCCAATATTCATCAACGATGTTGGAATTGACCCTCCCTCCAAGCTCCCTCTTAATAGGCCCCACACACGGGTTCATTTCCACTGAAGGAAGCGCCCCGTTGGAAGACAACCGTTTGAAGATCCTGAAGCGTGCCACAACACCATTCTCGGGATTCCAAGGCCAACTTGATTGTTGCGTCTTGACGATCTTGCATCGCGCCAAAACACCATTCCTGGGACATCAACACCGCGACTCAACAAAACTGTTGCGCCCTGACAATCTGAATCGTTCCCAAGCATCGTTTCGGGCTCAACGATGGGAGCCCGTGCCACTCTTGCATTTGTGTAGACGATTGTGCGGGACGCTAAAGCCATAACCACATTTTGAAAAGGAACCGCCCTCAATCCGTGAAGCCCTTGCAGTTCTTTTAAGACGAACGTGCGCTTTGAAACCGGCCCGCCCTCAATCCGTGAAGCTCTAGCACATGTAGAAAAACGAATGTGCGCGGCGGTAGGGCGAGAGCCACATTTTGAAAACCACCCGCCCTCCATCCGTAAAGCTCTTGCAAATGTGTAAGACGAGTGCACGCAGCGCTAAGGCGAGAGCCACATTTTGGAAGCGACTGGCCCTCCATTCGCGAAACTGCTGCAAACTGTTGAGCTTCAGGCTCATGAGTGGAGGAAGCGCAGCCTCGGGCGGAACGCCTGGCGCGCCCTTCCTGCAGGCCTCGGGGCGCGACAGGGAGGAGTTCTCTATGAGGCAAACGATTGGGAGGATGGAGGAGGAGACGGAGGAGGGAGGAGGAGGGATTCGGACGACACGGGGGGGGTATGGGGAACTGGGGGCTTGCGAAAGTTGCTGCGCGCAGCTGGTCTCGGCCCCGCCGCCGGGCGCTCTCCTGGCTACGCTGGCTCCACCTGCGCCAGGAGGCGCCGGGAAAGCAGGCTGCCTGAGCTGACTCGCCACATCCCCAGGACACGAGTTCGTTCCGCCCTGAGCCCGGACCGGACGGCTTCAAAGCCGACCACGGCGGATCAGATCCAGGGTGCGCAGATCAGATGTTTGCTTTGACAGGAGTGGTGGACATGATCCGCCCGCCTTTTTTTTGTTTCTTCTCTCTGGGTCTGATGGCCGTCCTGTTTTTCACACGGATGCGACTGATCCTCCGCTTGAACATATGCTCCGATCTTGGCTCCTGACTTCCGCGCCCAGCGCACTGACGACATCAGTGGATCGGCGATCGCCAAAGTACATGAAAGCGGGGGGGCGACACGAAACCAGATCCAAGGCCCCAAGGCCCGCCCGTGTTAAGATCTTGCGGGGGCGTGGGTTGCGGCAAGTAGCGCCGCGGCTTGGAGGAAAATCCTTCCTCTTGCGTGCAAGCACCCTCCTCCTGCTTTGCTGCTCTCAGACCTCTGGCGACGTGTTTTTCTTCGCAAAACTGCTTTCCAGAGATATGGGCCCTCCGAAGGCCGAACATGAGCAAGAACCTCTCGTGATTGTCTCGCAGCGGGAGGATGTCAGGACCCCCCCCCTTTCGTCCGCCCCGAAAGGAGTGGAGCCCCATCGACCGCATGCTGGCGAACAAGCGGGGCCAAGCGAAGGCACCTGACGCCCACCCTGGGGGAGGGAGGGAGGGGAGGCAAGGGCAGGACGGGGAGGGGCAGGAGGAGTGGATGGAGGAGGAGAGGGAGGAGGAGAAGGAGGAGCAGAAGGAGGAGGAGGAGGTGGACCTGTGTAAACCCAAGATTCTTCAACGATGTTGAAATGAACCCTCCCTCCAACATCCCTTACTTAGGCCCCTACAATGATTCATTTCCACTGAGGTAGATGCCCCGTTGGGAGACAGCTGGTCGAAGATCCTGAAACGTGCCAAAACACCATTCTCAGGATTCCAACGCCACGAATTGACCTGACTGTTGTGTTTTGACGATCCTGAACCGTGCCAGAACGCCGCTCCTGGGACTGCACCGCCGCGATTCAACGTAACTGTTGCTCCCTGGCAATCCTTAATCCTTCCAAGACGCCATTTTTGGTATGTTAACCATGCGAATCCGTGAACCTGCTACATGTGCTTCACATGTTCAAAACAACCCGCCCTCCATCCGTGACAACTTTGCAACTTATGCAAACGAATCTGCGCGGCGCTGAGGCGGAAACCAGATGTTGAAAACTGCCCTTCCCCCATCCGTGAAGCTGATGCAGTGTTCCCCAACGCTCCCTTGGTTGGGTTCTCGCTTTCAAGAAGCCAGTGAGGTGCCAACTCCCTTCTTCTCCTCCTCCCGCCCTCTGGTTCCCTCTCGCCTGCCTGCACCTGCCTGCACCTGCCTGCTGGGGAGGCCCGCTCAGTGGGGCCCCGCGCAGGTTCCGGCGTAGCCTCGCCATCCCTGGGGGGCTGCGGAGTGTGAAACCGTCGCCACTGTCGAGGGCTAAAGGGGAAGCCAGCACAGAGCCCCCCCTACGCAGACCAAAACGGGACCTCGCCATCCCTGGGCGGCTGCGAATTGTGAAACTGTCGCCACTTTCGAGGGCTACTGGGGGAGCCAGCACAGTGCCCCCCCTACGCAGACCAAAACGGGACCTCGCCATCCCTGGGGGGCTGCGAAGTGTGAGACTGTCGCCAATTTCGAGGGCTGCCGGGGGAGCCAGCACAGTGGGGCTCCGTGCGGAGGAGGAGGAGTAGTAGGAGGAGGAGGAGGCGGAGGCGGAGGGGGAGGATGAGGAGGATGAGGCGGATGGATGGATGCTGCTGATGATGTTGCTTACGATGATGCTGCTGATGCTGCTGATGATAATGGTGGTGGTGATGATGGTGGTGATGATGATGCTGCTGATGATGATGATGATGCTGATGCTGATGTTGCTGCTGCTGCTGATGATGATAACACTGATGATGCTGCTGCTGATGATGGTGATGCTGCTGATGCTGATGCTGTTGCGGATGATGCTGATGATGCTGCTGACGATGCTGATGAGGTTGTGATGATGATGATGCTGATGATGCTGATGATGATGCTGACGATGATGACAATCATGACGATGATACTGATGCTGATAATGATGCTGCTGATGATACTGAGGATGATGATGATGATGATGATGATGCGGATGATGATGCTGACGATGATGACGATGATGACCATGATGCTGCTGATGATGATGATGATGCTGCTGATGTTGCTGATGCTGATTATCATACTGATGCTGCTGATGCTGCTGATGCTGCTGATACTGCTGCTGATGAGCATGACGATTACGATGATGCTGATGATGATGCTGCTGGTGATGCTGGCGATCATGCTGCTGCTGATGATGGTGATGATGCTGATGCTGTTGCGGGTGATGCTGGTGATGCGGCTGACGATGTTGAGGGGTGTGTGATGATGCTGCTGACGATGATGATGATGCTGACGATGGTGACGATGCTGATGATGATGATAATGATGATGACGATGATGCTGATGATGATGATGATGATGATGATGATGATGATGCTGGTGAGGACGATCATGATGATCATGGTACTGCTGTGGATGATGATGCTGATGATGATGACGCTGATGTGGATGATGCTGCTGATGATGATACTGAGGATGATGATGATGATGATGATGATGATGATGATGATGATGATGATGATGACGATGGTGATGATGCTGCTGACGATGATGACGATGAGGACGATGATGCTGATGAAGCTGATGATGATGAGGATGCTGCTGCTGCTGTTGCGGCTGCTGCTGCTGATGCTGCTGATACTGCTGCTGCTGACGATGATGTTGATTACGAAGATGCTGATGGTGCTGCTGCTGCTGTTGATGCTGGCGATGATGCTGCTGTTGATGATGGTGATGATCCTGATGCTGTTGCGGATGATGCTGATGATGTTGTTGGCGATGCTGATGAGGCTGATGACGATGCTAATGATGATGATGATGCTGATGATGAGGATGATGATGATGATGATGATGATGCTGATGATGATGATTATGATGAGGTCGATGATGATGCTGATGATGATGATGATGCTGATGATGATGATGATGATGAGGATGATGCTGATGATGATGATGATGATGATGATGATGATGATGATGATGACGACGATGTTGTCGATGATGACGATGCTGCCGATGATGATGCTGCTGATGATGACGATGCTGATGGTGGTGATGCTGATGGTGGTGGTGATGATGATGTTGATGCGGATGATGCGACTGCTCAGGATGATGCTGGTGATGCCGGCGACGACGATGAAGCTGATGATGATACTGATGCGGATTGTGATGCGGATGCTGCTGATGATGATGCTGATGCGGATTGTGATGATGCTGCCGACGCTGACGATGATGCTGCTGATGATGCTGCTGATGATGCTGATGATGGTGACCGCGACGACGATACTGATGCTGATGAAGATGGCGACGACGATGATGATGATGATGCTGCTGCTGCTGATGATGATGATGAAGCAGTGGATGATGCTGATGACGATGCTGATGTTGCTGCTGATCAGGATGATGACGACGATCAGCATGTTGATGCTCAGGATGCTGATGATCATTCTGCTGATGATGGTATTGATGATGCTGGTTATCAGGATGAGGAGGAGGAGGCGGAGGAGGAGAAGGGGGCCGAGGACGATCTGCAGAAGGGGGAGGAAGATGAGGAGGAGGATCAGGAGGCTGATGATGATGATGATTTTGCTGCTGATGATGATGATGGTGATGCTGAGGATGCTGATGATGATGCGGATGATGAGGATTGTTGATGGTGCTGCTGCTGAGGGTGATGAAGGTGATGAGGATGCTGCTGCTGATGATGATGATGATGATGGTAACAATCATGATTATTATGATGATGCTGCGGACGATGATGATGATGATGATGATGATGATGATGATGATGCTGACACTCACTCTGATGATGATGCTGATGATGATTATGATGATGATGCTGATGCTGATGCTGCTGAGGATGATGACATTGATGATGATATTGCTGATGATTGTGATGCTGATGAGGATGATGTTGACGATGCTGCTGCTGATGACGATCATGAGGATGATAATTATGATGATGCTGATAATGATGACGATGATTGTGATGATGATGCTGATGAGGATGATGACGATGATGATTATGTTTACGATGATGAGGCTATTACCGGCGAGTCCTGTGATGCTGCTGATGATGATGATGTTGATGTTGATGTTGATGCTGCTGATGATGATGTCGATGATGATGACGATGATGATGTTGCTGCTGATGATGATGATCTGCGACGATGATGAAGAAAAGTATTATCCAAATAGGCCTGCCCTATAGGAGTCCTAGCTCATCAGAAGTAATTGGTCTTTAGGGTCCTCCCCTTTTTCCAATGCCCCCCCTTTTTCCAATGGCACCCCCCCTTTTCCAATGGCACTTGCTTGCTTGCTCTTGCGTGCTTGCTCTCGCTTCCTTGCTCTTGCTTGCCCTTGCTTGCTTGCACTTGATCGCTCTTGCTTGCTTGTTATTGCTTGCTTGCGCTTGCTTGCTTCCGCTTGCTTGCTTACGCTTGCTTGATTTTGCTCCTCCCGTTCTACTCCCGTCCTGCTCCCGTCCTCCTTTCGTCCTCCTCCCATCCTCCTCTCGTCCTCCTCATGTCCTCCAATCTACTTGAAGTTAACGCGGGCTGATATGACGATGATGCTGATGATGATAATGATGATGCTGAGGGTGATGATGCGGATGCTGCTGCTGCTGATGATGATGCTGATGATGATGAGTTTGATGATGATGCTGCTGCTGATGCGGCTTCTGATGATGATGATTCACATAAGTCTGCTGCTGACGGTGATGATGATAATGATGGTGATGATGATCATGATGATGGTGATGATGATGATGATGATGATGATGATGATGATAATGATGATGATGACGTTGGTGATAATGATAGTGCAGCTGTTGATGAGGATGCAGCTGATTATTATAATGATGATGATGCTGCTGCTGCTGATGCTGATGATGATGCTGATGATGATGGTGATACTGGTGTGATGGTGGTGATGATGCTGTTGCTGATGTTGATGATGATCATGCTGATGATGCTGCTACTGATGATGAGAGATGATGCTGATACTGCTGCTGATGATGATGATGAGGAGGAGGAGGATAAGGAGGAGGTAGACGAGGAAGGGGAGGACGGGGTTGTTGGGGGGGGGGGGGGGGGGGGAGGGGGGAGGGGGGAGGAGGAGGAGGACGAGGAGGAGGAGGAGGAGGCGCAGGAGGATGAGGAGGTGACAAGCCGGAGGAGGAGGAGGAGTAGGAGGAGGAGGAGGAAGCTGAAGATGCGGATGATGCTGATGATTTTGCTGCTGATGGTGATGATGCTGGTGCTCATGCTGATGATGCTGCTGATGATGATGCTGCTGCTGATGCTGATGCTACGGCTGATGATGATGGTGATGATGCTGATGGCGATGGTGATGCCGATGCGGATGCTGCTGCTGCTGATGATGATGATGCTCATTATGCCGCTGCTGCTGCTGATGATGATGATGATGCTGATGCTGCTGCTGATGATGATGATGATGCTGATGGTGGTGATGATGATGACGCT